AGCTCCTGCGTGGCTTGGTTCTGACATACTTCCCAATCTTGATTAGCATAGTCAACAGACTTTATCTCTGAGTTTCCTGACATAATTACCTTACTTTAGCACCACAACCTTTCTATTTGTAGAGGGCAACAATGGTTAGCATATCAATTGGGTAAGATTTTACAATTCTTTACAGAAGAGAGCATTGATTAACATATCAATCTTTTACCCAAGGGAAAAGGAAGACACACATTTACAGTTACAGGTATTACTATGATATAAACGAAGCTATTTTTGTGAAGAATGTACAATCTAATACAATCTGATGCAATTAACACAATTTGTGATGGGGCTTCTGGATAGGGAAGACCCAGGATGTCAGGAGCTATTACCTCAGGCCTTTGTTTTATGGCCTTTAGGAAGTTAAAACTTAACCTAGTTGGATTTGAAGGGAGAAGGGGAGGGGAAGCAGCAGATGGAACGAGCTTTCTTGGTCTCTTCAGTTTGGCGAGGCTAAGGTAGGCCCCACTGGAAGTTTTCCAAAATGGGTTGGCTTTCCACATTAGTTTTGGGTCTACACTCGTTTGCCCAAAGATATCCTTCTCTACACTTTGGACAGATATTAGAAGATTTTGTTGGGAGGACAGATATCATCTGTGCTGCTCCTATAGGAGCAGTAGAGCAATTTTTGGCAAGATGCCCCCCACTCCTGCAGCGGAAACAAGTAACCTTGCCTTTTCCCTTTCCTCTAGGCTGTGAATGAACAATCTTGAGTGAAAGCTGCTGCCAAGGTAGCCCCTGCGCATATGAGGGGCCAGTGTCTGCACAAGTTTGAATCAAATCAGACAGCATAGCCCATTTTTGTGAGCTCTTAAAGCCTATTTCCACAATTTGCATTTTCAAAGACCAATTGTTGAACAATTAACTTGCTAGCCTCTGTATCACTTATAATCCTTCCACTGGCCTGCAATAAGCATGCTGCAAAATCTTGAAAAGGTTCACCAGGACCCTGATGAACGGAAGTCAAATCAGAGGATGTATCACCCTTTGAAGGAAATTCTTTCCAAGCCCTTATGGAGGTTATTTTAATATATTCACATACTCGAATCTCAAAAGTAAATTGATTATTTGGGGCAGCAAAGGCACCGTGTCTCTTGTAGTGGCTATGTTGTGAGCAACATTATGTGCAGCCTGGTCTGTTGACAATTAAAAAAAGAATTCCTTTCCACCATAAATAACCCCTCAGATTTAAACATGCTTTAGCTATTCTTTTTTTTTTTTTTTTTTGTCTTTTTCATTTTTATTGGTACCAGGGATCGAACTCACGACTGCCTGCTTGTAAGGCAGGCGCTTATGTCGCTGAGCTAAATCCCCAGCCCGCTTTAGCTATTCTTTTCCAAACAGTTGGGGCTATAATCTGTCATCCTATAAGTCCTATTATACTTAGGGTAAATGGGGCCCTAGGGCCGTATGTAGTGCTAGCTTGTTTCCTTATTCTTTTAATGTCTTAAAGAGTAGTACAGCTTCATAAAGACATATAACTTGCCCAGATTATTGGGAACTTGAACTTCAGTAACAGAGTAGACACGTTAAAAACCTTCCATCCGGCTTCTTTTAGTGTCAGTTGTAAGGGAGAGAGAGAAAATGGTTCTACTTCCTGAGAGGCAGAAGTTCCAACTTGTGACACAAAATTTTTCTGAACTGAAAAATTGGGAATTGCTGCTTGTGTTTCAGTTAAGGTTATTGGGGTGGCTGTTATCTCACTATCCTTTCCTTGCTTGGGACTTGTCTTAATGCATTGAGCTAAATCTCTTGTATAGGTTTTCCCCAACAAACTTACAACCATTAAAGCACTTCCTAATGCAAATTCACAGAAGTATAGTAAATACAAGAACCCCACAAACAGTTCCATATACATTTGTGGTTCTTGACAATCTATTTGCCCCATGTTTAACATTTGATAAAAATCAATACACCTCTCTCCCTTCTCTCCCTTTTGTTTCTTGTAAGCCTGTTTTTCTCTTTGGCCCTATGAACTCAGTTTTCTCTTTCCCCTGGTGAGCCTGTCTTTCTCAAGTTTTACACCTGATGATATCAACATCATTTCTCTCCCATTTGTGTGCATAATGAGAAGTGTTTCCTCACCCACTGGTTTCTTCTTACCAGTCTTTGTTAAGGTATCATTTGTTGCATTTGGCTGTAGCTCTACATGTTCCCAGGGGGAATAATAGAGAAAATAAAGAAGACAAAAGTCAGGCCAGGTGGAGCCCTCTTTCCTGGTGGGAGGAAAGGAAATGCTCAACCACTGCAGTGCATTTATTTATACACTCAAGAGGTTGATGTCAATTTCAACTCCTCTGTTTTGGAACTTTGTTGATTCACCTGATAACCTCATACTCTCAGAGCTGGAACAGTTTATTTATTTGGAGCTACAACAGCTTATTTACCTGGCTTGCTTCAGGCTTTCATGTTCTCAATGCTGACCTTACTTTAACCCTACACATGTAATCAATCTCCAGCTTTAGCTGCCACACATAGCAGGGAGAAGCAGATGCAAATATTTGGAAACAAATATTTAGAAACAAGAAGATAACAGGAGGAAGCAACTGTGAGGCCCATGTGCCCAGAGAGAGAAGCAAGGATGACTACAGGAAAGAAGTTTGGAGAGGTCAAAAGTATGCAAGCCAGGTGTGAAAATGCCAGTCTGAGAGTTCTGATCACAAGAAAGGAATAATCCTGCCTTCCTTTTCAAGAGTTCCTCCAGTTACTATGTGCAGACACAGTGTGGTCAGGAAAGGGCAGAAGCAGGGAGGTTAGAATGAGGCTGGTGAAGTTTTTGAGGCAGGAGGCAATGGTATTTGCTCCCTGACTGGCTGCTGGGGGGACTTTGAGGTTAAGGCAAAGGGGACTTGCCCTGTGCTGAGTGTAGGTGAAGTGCAGGAGAAGATGAAGATTGAGGCCTAGCCATTTGTACTGAGCAACCAGAAAAATTGATATGCTAGTTCTGGAAGTTGAGAAGACTGCAAGAGAAAAAGATACTCTTTCTGGAAGAGTTGAGTTTTGTATGCACTTGGACAAGGAAGTGAGAGTTTTGAGTATAGATGGTCCCTACTTGTGATGTTCCCACTTAAGATTTTTCAACCTTACTATTATGCATTCAGTAGAACTATACTCCAGATTGTGAGTTTTGATCTTTTCTGGGCAGTGGTATGTGGCCCCAGAACTGTGATACAGGACTCTTGTGATTCTGGGCAGTGGCAGTGAACCACAGTTCCTACTTAGCCACAAGACCACAAGATTATAACTAACACTGCAATAGCCTGCTTTGTTTTGGTTTTTTGGATACAGATATTTGATGTGTTACCTGAGCTGTTCAACACTTTGAATAGTTGTCACCAATTTCATGGAGTTGCTCCATTATTAAGAAGTGTAGCAGAGAAGGGTGTAGTTGAAGGGACCACTTTCCAGGGAAGCTCCATCTCTTACCCTATATGAGTCTGTATCAGGTTCCTGTTGCTGCTGTAACCATTTGCCACAGATATCATGCCTATAATAGTAAATATATATCACCTTACAGTTCTGAAAGTCACATCCGACATGAGTTCCATTGAGCCAAAATCAAGGCAGGCAGGGCCGGCTTCTTCCAGAGGCTCCAAGGTATGAATTCATCTTTATTAATTTTGCCTCCTCTGGAGGAAACCTGCTTTCCTTGGTCAGAGCTCCATCCTCCACTTGCAAAGTCACTAGAGTAACATCTTCCAATCTCTTTCTGCTCTCTTTTCACTTGTGAGGACACTTATAGTCACATTGGGCTGACTGAAATAACCTGGGATCATCTCTCCATCTCCATGCCCCAACTTATTTCTATCTTTAAAGTTCCTCTTACCATAAATATATGGATCTGGAGCAAAATAAGTCAGACTCACTCAGAACAATAAGTGTTACATGTTTTCCATAATGAAATATTTATGGAATCTAAAAGAGGTGACAAGAAAGTAAAAGGGAGATTATTATTAGACAAGAGGAAGAGGATAAGGGGGAGGCTGTAAGGGCAGATACTAGGGGGATGGATATGACCCAAATATATTATATACATTGAAACCTCTTCCCCAGTGTGAAACTAGGAGGGAGAGTGGATAAGGGACATGATACGAGGTGTGAAAATGATCAAAGTATGTTATATGCTTATATGACTTTGCTAAAAGGAGACACAGTGCAGACACAGTATCTGCAGATATACCTCAGCATCATAGTGCCTACCTAGCAAGCACAAGATCCTGAGTCCTGTTGTTGGTGAGAGAGAGAGAGAGAGAGAGAGAGAGAGAGAGAGAGAGAGAGAGAGAGAAAGAGAGAGAGAGAGAGAATGAGAATCTGCCAAAATGGTAATATATTTACAGATTCCAGGGTTCTAGGCTGTGGAAATTTTGGTGGAGGGCATTGTTCTTCCTATCAGGGGAATATAATTTCTTTGACTGTCTGCTTCTCCACCTAATCCCCATTAAACCGTAAACTTCTGAGTATAGGTGCCACATCTGAGTCAAAACACTTCCTTTCTCACTCTTATTGACTATTGCAGTCCATAATTAGATTCTTGTTTGATAGCTAATATATGGCCACCACCTCAATTAACACATGAGCTGCAAGAAGCCAGGTCATCTGTTTATCATGTGCACCATGCACCCAGCTCAGAATGTCTCATGTGGGGGATGCTAGAATTGGGATCATAAAGAAATGGATGCAATCCTGGATTTACAAGGAAATCTGAGCATGTTACTTACTGATTTCAACCTCAGTTTTCACATCTATAAAATGGAGACAAAAAAGTCACTATCTTCTTCATGGAGCTGTGAAAGAGAGTCGGTGCTCATTCCATATTCAATGTTTGAAGAAAGAATGAGTGAAGGAGATTGCAATATAAATGCATGTGAAGGGATGGACTCAGGACTCATGGGCTTGTCTGGATTCTACCCTTTCCTATCCATACCACTCTGCCCTGATCCCATTTTCTCTGTCCCACACAGGGTCCCCTGGTTGAATCTCAGCCAAATGACAGCTCCTCACAGCAGCCTCCCCCATCTGTGGCTGCCCCCTCATCGGATGAGGAAGAGATCCACTATGCGTCCCTCAGCTTCCATGGAATGAAGCCCAGAGACCCACAGGAGCACCAAAGCATCACCAGTGAGTACTCAGAGATAAAGACCCATGAGTGAAAAGTTGCCAATACTGGTTCTGTGTGGAGTAGTGAGAGCACCTCTGGGGATAAGGAAAATTCAGAGTTGGCTGGTCCTGCAGAAGGAAGAACCCTCTAGGTCACTTCACTGAACATCTAGAGCCCGTCCTCAGCAACACTGAAACTATGCTGCTACATTGCATCCCTTCTCTCCTCTCCATCCAGTCCTGAAACTTCCATAATCACCACTCTATTCTGTTTTTATGAATTCGACGTTTTCAGGTTGGACATATACATGACCAGGTTCGACGTTTTCAGGTTGGACATATGCATTGCCGGTCTCTCTGTGCCTGGATCACTTTTTTTTTTTTTTTTTTTTTGTCTTTTTCCTTTTTATTGGTATCGGGGATTGAACTCACGACTGCCTGCTTGCAAGTCAGGTGCTTATGCCACTGAGCTAAACCTCCAGCCCCGTGCCTGGATCACTTAACATGATGTCCTCCAGGTTCATCCATAGGGTGGCGAAAAACACAATAATGCATTGTAAAGAGGGTTTTAAAAAAAAAAAATTCTATCAAAGGTATGATGACTATTTGAGGTGATGGATAAGCTAATTAGTCTGATAATTTCTTAAGATGTGAATCTACTGAAACATCATACTTTACCTAAAAAGGCATATATAATTATTATTTGTTCATTAAAATGAAATGTTAGAATACCTTCCCACTTAGCCTCCAGCTGCTTTCATGTCTGGAAGTGGAGTTCAAGAAATCGCCTCTGCATTGAGATAAGAGAGGTAAACCCAGCTCATGGTCTCTCTCCTCTCAAGTCAAACCAATCAAATGAGCAAAGCTCCTTCACTAAATCTCAGGATAATCTGAAGAATAAACAGTATGGATTAAAATTCACCTACACATGTCACCAGAACAAGAAAAAGAACAGAGCACAGCAGTCATTTGATACATGCAGACTTGGTGGCAAGAAATCAAAGGAAGGATGAACGTGGAAAGTTCCTTAAATCTGGATTCTAGCCCATTTATAGCAGCACTGAAAAACAAAATGTCAGGGAAAAATCTTTTCAAAAAATGTGCAATTTCTGTACTAAAAAATATAGAAACTTACTGAAAGAAATAAAAGACCCTACTGAATTCAAGAAATATACCATGTTCATGGATTTGAAGAACAAAATTATTATGATGTTGGTTTGTTCTATGTTGATTTAAAATAATCCCAGTCACTATATATTTATGTGCATATGTGTATATATGTATACATGTGTGTGTAAGGATATATAACATATATATATATATAATATGTATAAATTGATGAGTTCATTCTAAAATTTACATGGAAATGTAAAGCACCTCGAATAGCCCAGAAACGGTGTTAAAGAAAAGAACAGTAGGTGACATTTCTTCAGACCCTTCTATTAAGCTAGGGTACACCAATGGGTGAGGTGCTGTCAGCAGAGTTATCCCATGGAGACAGGAGAAACTTTTAAACTAATGTTGATAGAACAAGTATGGAAAAAATGAACTTTGACTCCACTACACACACAAAATAGTCTAAGATGAACCATAAACCTGAAAGTGAAATTGGAAACTTAAACTTCTGTGGAGTTCAGTATGGAAGCTATTAGCCATGCAAGGCTGTTGAGACTTGAAAAGTGCTACAAATTAGAAGCAAAAGAAAAATCTAAAGCTCCTATTGGTAATTTTAAGATTGGCAGTATGTTGAACATATTTTACTAAATAAACTACTATTAAAAGTAATTTCATTTGTCTCACTTTACTTTTTATAGTGGTCACTAAAACATTAAAAATTACACATTGCATTGCATTGTAGCTAGTCAGTGCTCTAATGGAAGAAAATTTAAAGAATGAAGGGCCACCCTCAGTAGCCCTGATTTTGTGACCAGACCCTAATTCCCAGTAGCACATGCAGCTCTGAATTCTTCGGTGATGCATTCACTGATAAGTAGTATGCACTTTCATGATCCAATCATTTTCCAACCCTGACCACATGAACATATGAGCCTTTTGGGGGGACATTGTAGATCTAAACCATAACACTTAGCTTCCCCTTAATTTAAAAGTAGAAATTTAGAGAGAACATCTCTGAGAATGCAGTGATTTCTGTGAGTGTGTCTGCACTGATGAAAATTTGTCCAGAGGCCTGCCAGGTCCCATGGGCCTGCAGACTGGCTGAGGAACACAACGGGAAGAAGAGAGAGAAAAATAGAGTAGGAGAGGAAGAGACTGATTGTTTGATTGATTGATTGATCGATTCATCCTGGCCCCTCCTCTCTGGTCCATTCTGTCCTTATCCTCTCCCAGATTACCATCCTCCCTTACCAGCCTCCAGTCCATCCTCCTGAGACCTTCATATGGATCTCAGTAAAGCCCAAGTTGTGACCTGCTCTCCTCTGCTCAAGGACCCTCCGTGTCTCCCTAGCATTCCTATAATAAAGTGCCAAACTCTATGCATGATTGTGAGATACTGTCAACCAAAACTGGTCTTTATGACTCATTCAGCCTCCTTTACAGCTACACTTACCCCACCCCATCTCCCAGTGCATTTCATTCATTCATTCATTCATTCATTCATTCATTCATTCATCATGATTCCCACACTCTGTGCCCCACTGTAAATGCAGCCCTCTTGGTGTTCTGCATTCTTTTCTAACTCTAGGTTTAGGCAGGCCGTTTCTACTCCTGACACACTGATCCCTACTCCCTCCTCATCATCCGTGTCTACCCCCACAGACTCACATCTACCTTGCTTTACTCTCAACTCTGTCACCTCCTTCCTGCTTGGGGCCAGGTGACCCTTCTGAGCTCCCTCTCCCTCTAGGGCTCCCCAAATCTTGGGCCTGACTACTGAGGCTATTACAGTCTGGTGACAGTCTATGTCTCACATAAGGGCAGTAGCTTCAGGGAGGAAGGTCCTGAGCTGTGTCAGTCAGCATTTGGTCCACGGAGTCCCAGGTGGAGCACAGGGCACCCCTCAATGGTTACCTGGGTGCATGAGTACACCCCTAAGATGGCCTATGTAGAGTTTGATTTCACAGCTAAATTCACTGGTGCAGGTATGAAGACACTCACAGGTGTGTATGTGACACCTAAGCCTTGGCTGTGCATAGGAGACAAAGATTTTGGAAACCCTGCTGTAGGCCTTGGGAATGGAAGCTGACTTCATGCAAGGGCAGTGCACACACCTGTCAGTGATGTCAGTGATGTGCAATGGCTGTGGATGTTGGGGGACATGGAGGGTCCTACAGGACAAAAAGGTTTGTAAAGTGACACAACCTGTGGCAGGGAAGGGATCTGGACAGATGGGGGCATCTGGAGAGGTGACTGCAGGTCCCAAAGTTCATTGCTGTGGGTATGGATGGAAATGAGTCTGTGTGTGTATGTGTGTGTATGTGTGTGTGTGTGTGTACCTGCATGTGCCTAAGGCAGTGTGTCTATGCCTATGGGCCAGGTATGTGAGCCCAAAACAGTGCTGCTGAGATCCTGTCCCTCCCAGCTGTCCCCTGGGAGTTCCTGGCAGTGGTCTCGGTGGGCTATTCCTGGGCCCCTCCCTGCTGTCTGCTCTTCAAACCTGGAGGGCAGATTCTGCTCTTTCCCACCAGCAGGAGGCACCCCCAGGAGCTGCACCTGGGTCTGGTGTGCTCCCTGAGATGCCTGTCATCCCCGAGGGACAGGTTCCCTCAGAGCCCGACGCTCTCTGTCCTTTCACAGCCCTGCGTCTCCCCAGAGGCTGCTGTGCCCCCTCCCCACTTCCCACATGGACTCTGCCCAGCTGGCTGGGAGGGACCAATGAGTTGGTCCTGATCTTTATGGCTTTATGCTCGTTTTGTTAGCTATGTACTGATACTATTTTTATATTTATTTATATCATTTTGTCCTGGTTACCCATACAACAAACAACACAGCATCACTGTTGGGATAACTAAGAAATAACAAAGCAAAACAATGACAAGTTGGAAGGCATTTTAATGTGCATCTCTGTTCCGTTTTATTGTTCATCCTACACAAGGCTACACTCAATTTTTCCATTGTGATTGAGCTGTCTTGTTTTGCAGCCAGCTGCTTATTCCCTTGGGAAGTGTACAAGGGCTGTTCAAAATATATGATGAACGCTTAAATTAAAAGATTGATTACAGTGAAACACACATTGCTGTTAGTCTCCTTCAAAATACTCCCCTTCATTTCAGATATCCTTGTGCAATAGTTTTTCCCACTTTCTGAAGCAGTTCTGGGCATCCTCATTTGGGAGTGTCTTTACAAGGTGTGATTTAAAAATACAGTAATTGCAACTGCCTAGTGCTGTCCAAGGGAAAGGCAGGCTCAGACAGTCATTACTGATCCTGCACTGTGGGATTTCTGGCCCTTACCTAAAGTCAAAATGACCATAGAAGGTGGACATTTTGAACTGACTTAGGACACTGGGGCAGTTACAACAGCCCAACTGAGGACACTCCCAAAGGAGGACTTCTGGAACTGCTTCAGCAAGTGACAACTACTATTATGGTTTGTGTCTGGGTGTCCCTCCAAAGCCTCATGCAGTCATGGAGGTGGCTGAATTTAGCATTTGTGATTGGTTGGTTGTCTCGCACTAGGATTGGTGCTGCACCCACCCAAGGGTGGATAGCCTGCATACAGAATAAGGGAGGGAAGGAAGCCTGCTTTTCCCTTTTTGCCTTTTTCGCTCCTGTTGCTTGTGGCATGGCTGCCCTTTAGCCATACGACTCTGCCTGGGCACCAGCTGAGTATGGACTGAAATCTCCACAAACTGTAAGCTGAATAAACCTTTTCTTCCTTCATTTTGGTCATCAGCTATTTTGTCTCAGTGAGAGAAAAGTAACCAAGAAAACTAACATGAGATATGTGTTCAAAGTGATTTTGAATGGAATTATGACAATATGTCTTCCTGTAACAGCCAAAGGTTTAACCATTCATAGTATATTTTGGTCACATCTCATATTCCCCCACATCATTAAATATTCTTCCATTGGCCAAAGACATGCATTATATATCCAAACCAAACTTTATGCAGTCGGGCACTGCATGAGGCTATTTTTGGCAATAATAAACCAGATATAGAATGGTGGTCCCATAAAGTTATAATGGAGCTGAAAATTCCTATCTTCTAGTGACACTGTGGCCATCATGGTGTCCTCACACAGCACACAATCCATCTTCATGATAATGCTGGTGTGAATGAGCCTACTGTGTACTAGATACATAGAAGAGTAGAGCATGCACCTAGGTCAGTGCAAGACACTTTATGATGACAATAATAAATGGTCATGTTACTGGCTCATGTATTTACTAAACTTTTAATCTTTATTTTAACGTGTGCTTCTGCTTAGTAGAAAAAAATAGATTGCACATGCCTCTCTGTCAGCACTCAGGGACACTACAGCAGGTGGATTGTACTTAAAGACCACTCTGGGCAACTTGATAAAAATCAAAAGCTCTGTGTAAAGGCTCTGTATTGCATCCCTAGTATACAGGCTCTGTATTGCATCCCTAGTATACACACACACACACATCAACAGGCAGAGTCCTGTGCCATGCTGGTGGGAATGCTGCATGTCTACTGTTTACTGTGCTTCCAGATTGCACCGTTCCTTTTATGACTGGTGCAATTTCATGTTTTGTTCGTCCTGACCCTAGGACTCTGGCCATTCCACATACATGTATGTACCAGGTGACCTCAGTGGCAGTGGGCCATGCTATCTGTGTTGGTATAAGCATCTTCTATGATGGCATAAGCACAATGATGGAACTGCTCAGAGACACACTTCTCAAGGCCAACTCAGAGCAGCACTTGACTCTTCACAGATGGGCAGCAAGGAATGGACATCCATGGTAACAATTGGTTTATCTGTGTGAGACCCTCAAGACTGAGGACATCAAATGTCTCTTGTGGATTTGTTGATTTCTCTGATCAGTACTCAGTAAATTAAGTTACAAAAACCCAAAACTAGCTGTCTTAAAGATTTCAATTCAATATCCATGTCTTGGTTTTGTTCATAGAGCTAATGAATTTGATAATCACAGGTGGACCACGTGATTGTCGATAGATAAAAATCCTTTTAAAAATCGGTGGCATTTACAAACACAGTTAATTAAATCCTCATAAATATTTTATGATGCATTTGTACTTTAGAAAAAAAAAAACACTTCACTTGCATGAGACCTAACAAAATCTTCCCAGATACTTGTTACCCTATAAATCTAATTAATTAAATATAAAATATAGAGACTCAGGTTTTTTAAAACATTCTGATGTTGTTTACAAACTTCATGAGATTCTGTTATGCCACTTGACATAAATATACAAACTGGATGTGCCAGCTTGTGTTGATGTTTTAAGCTGTATTCATGAGAGAGCTGTGTCTATAATGGGCCATGTTCTCCTAAACCTCTGTATCACTTTCCTGTTCTTGCTGGAACAACTTGCTCCAAACTCAGTGACTAAGAACAACATCTCCATAGGTCAAAGGAATACAGTGGGTCTTATGGGGCTGGCATCAGAGTGTCACGGATTTTGTTGCCCTGGAAGTTGCTGAGGAGAATCTATTTCTGTGTGGTTCCAGTTTTGAGGGTCACTTTTATTGCTACAGCCCTTTCTTTCATCCTCAGATCACATCACTCTGACCTTTGCTTCTGTGGCCACTTTCTCTTCTTTGACTTTGATTCTCTTGCCTCCTAAGGACCTTTGTGGCTACTTCTAGCTTCTGTAGACCTGAGAGACCTTA